CCATCTAACCCTAAACGCTAATAATAATTAAAACTACTATTTACTTATGCGGTCAAAAAGTAATACATTTAAAGTTAGCATTTATTTTTAATTAATTTCATTCATGTATTTTTATTCAAAAAGTCATCAAAATACCTTTTAAAAATATATTGTGATTTGGAGGATCTAAAAAATGCTAAGAACTTGTGTTCATGCAGGCTGCAGGTTCACATCCTCTGTAAGTCACCCAGCCTCCAGAGCAGCTCCACCAAATCCCTGACGTCTCATGTTGCAAACAAGCAACTGTTTTTTTTTTTTGTTGTTTTTTTTTGCGTCATCCCCTGAACATTAATAATAACAAGAAAAATAAATCATAGCCGTAGCCACGTGATGGCTATTGTATTTGCAGTTTAAAAAGCAATAAAATCAGCTGCCCCAATGCAGAGAATTGGACTTGTTGTTGCAGGCAGATCATCTTGTCCCATCATTCCTGCACTTTAGCAGCTCTCAGGTCAGCCAGTACTGTAACAGCACAAAATCGTTGCCAAATGACACCCAAGCCTCTGCAGCAGTAACTGTAAACCTCTAATACTCTCAGCCTTACCCATAAAAAACTGTGCAAAACAGATATGATAGAAAATGCATTATTATCCAATGCCTTAACTAGAAAAACATCAAAAGAGCAATAAACTAGTTGTTTTGTAGATTCAGATTTTAATATTCTACACAAAGTATCCATTGCAAACAAGACTACTTCTTGTTAAACGTGGCTGTCCCATCTCAATTAATTTCAACTAAATTGTGTTAGTAAAAGAACTACAAAGACGTTCTGTTTGTCTCACGTGTCCAAAACAAAGCAACTGACTAATAATCGAGTGACTAACAAAGAGGCAGAAAGTGCTCTCTGTTGGCCACTTAATACCTCTTAGATTACAACACATTAAACACTTCCCGGATTAAGAGCTATACTCCTTCATTCATCGCTTTTAACTATCATTAGAAGTGACTAAGGTTTATGATACATCTCTTGGCTGCGCTCACTTTACCACATCCCACTTATCCCACCTGTCGCCCTTTGGGTTTGAAATGAAGATGGGTTAAAAGAATAACTATGCAGCAAAGAAAGGATATGAAAACACTTTAAAAGTTGGTTTTCTTACCACTTGAGATTTTCTTATCAGCGACTTCGGTTGTCAGTCTGAATCCACAGGGAGTCAGCCTAAACCAAGTTCTGTAAGAGGCCAACACAACAACCATCCGTCTCCATCCGCCCCCCCACCTTGCCTCTCCCCGAGGCCTTATAAGGACAGAGAACTGCCTATATATAACTAGTATCCTTCAGGACTTCGGGCCACTAAAACCAGTCACCTATTTGATTAAATGAGCATATTGTTAAGGGTTTTAAAAGACCCATTAATGGTTAATGGGTAAAATGTTCTTCCAAGAGCAGAGTGCAGTCAAATGATTTAACAAGCATACTGGACAATATGGACAATACAGAAAATATAAGCGTTTAGATTTTGTTTTTGGGAGAGGGACAGTTAATCAAATTTAACAATAGCAGGTTCAGTGCAAAAAATAGCAACAATATTCAGGGAGTGCTTTAACAATTTTTTTGCATATTTTGATATAGGTACAGTGTTTTTTTTGTTTTTTAAACAACTGACTATTTAACAGTTCCTTACAAATTAAATGATGATACGTCATTGTACAGTAGACCATGTAGCTAGACCTTTAACCTTAGATGCGTGTGTATTTAGCTCATGCTCCAGGAGTTTTCTCCATCTGCACCTAAGGAACATTTTGAGACTGTGTTTTGCACACTGAACTTTGGCATTGGTCTATTTATAAAACCAGCTCTGATTACAACTTAACTATTTCTGACGCAGTAGAGGAACCGTGAGACACATTTCACATCTGAGACAAAATCATGTGAGGGAACAACATTTGGCACTCTGGAGATTTGGGAGGGAGTGTGTGATGTGTGAGTGACGTAGACAAATGGGCCTAAAAGAAGGCACTGATGTAATAAATGGGATTTCAAAGTTTACCAGGTTTAATGCAATGCCATTTTTATGCAAATGCAAATTATAAATTTAAAACTAGGCCTATAATAAATCCTTTAATTTGGGATAATAAAAAAAACTTATAACATGAAAACGTATCAGTAGTGTTTTGTTTAATCTCTAATTATACAGTAGGAGAACTGAAGTTAGTGACAAGTGTAGTGCTATAATATTTTGTTAACAGGACAAGAAATCAAGAAATGTGTTTTATACATGCTAACATTCATTTCAAGCTTGGCCATTTTTCTTACAAACCTTTTCAGGTTTATAGATCAAGTGCAGTCTCCTAAAGTTTTTTGTGCCCGTCACAGAAAAAGAGATACTGCGCCCTCTGCTGGTCATGATAAAGAGCCTCAAATGCCTTTCTGTACAGGAAGTAAACAACTGTTTACATGATCTGCTTCAATAAGTTAGGTTTACTTTTGAAAATACGTTGGCATTTGGTATGATTTAACTTTAATAAAAAAAACAACAACGATGTAAACGTGCAATATATTCGCTTTGCTGCTTTTAGTTCTTTTTTTTTTTATTTATTATTCAACCTTTATTTAGACAGGTAAATCCCATTGAGCCTCGAGGACTCATTTACAAGAGAGACCTGATTAGTTTAAGCTTAAGTTGGTTTTATTGTCATTCGCGTCACGTGGTACATGAGGTGGAACGAAATTATGTACTGTACACAGTTACATGCAACAATAGCAAATATATAAACTCTAAAAAGAAAAAGTAATAAGGATCTAAGATATAAACTAAGAAATACACTAAACTAGACATCGTGTACCTTTGCCTTGGCATTTTTAAACAAGTATTTACTTTAATATGATTAAAATAAATTTTCAGAATTTGGATTTTTTTTCTTCTGGATCTGGGGAATTTTGGCAAAAATTTACCATTTTATTACTGTTTTGTTATCCAAAGAGTGGGGCTCCTTGTGCTGATTGTAATCAGTCCAGCTTAGTCTCATATAATTAAATTTATCACATCGTTTAGTTCTCTATGGCACAAAAACAGAACAATCTTTTAGATAAATGGAGCGTTTGTATGAATATAAATCAGCGAAGCCATGAAATATTAGCTTTAAAATCTCGTTGAAATGCTTCGAGCGGAGTAAGCCGTGCAACAAATCAAGCAAACCCAAATCGCTGCGTAATGACGTAAATACAAGCGAAGCTTCTGATTGGCTGAGCCAACAGACCAGTAGTTGGGCGAAAATGGGGCATAAACAACTTTTTTTTGTTCCTGTGTAAACCTTTAGCCTACAAAAATAAGGAACTCTTTGTTGGTTAAGGATTGCGGACTTTGTTGCACCATATTCGGTAGAAGGTAAGGTTAAAAAAAGTCTTATTAAACAAAGCGCTTAACATTTGAACATTTCAACACCTTAGACTTTGTTAGTGCAGTAAATACTTGATATTTTTTACCACTGAGTGACTTTTTTCTTGACTTGTATTAACTAAATTACTGTATTTCGTCATTGTGTCCACTTGTTTGCTCACAGAACAAGTCAAACCTTTAAACCTTTATACATGTCTTTTGGGGCATTTATGAAAACAGAGACTTTTTTTAATTGTTAACTATATCACCCAGGTAGATAACAACAAAAAAGTTTAAATCGTGTCATCTGGACCAGTTTAGACTCTATAAACTATTTAACTCACCCTGTTCATGTGATGTTTTTTATTTATTTTTTTATTTATTTTACCGAGTCATGTTTACTTTGCAAACCTGAAAATCATTTCTAACACAGTTCTCATGTTAGCATGTAAGTTGATCATGTTTAATATTATTGTATTTTAAATGTTAGTTAATCTGAAAGATTTTACGCATGAACCCTGGAGGAAAGAGTGAATATTTTTGTAATATTTTCTTTTTCAGGATGAATAGTTCAGCAGCTATCATTATTAGGTATTATGTAGTAGTAATGGGTGCTTGTCTTATCAACTGTATTTTCAAAATCAACAGAAATCGTTCTCATTTTAAACAATGGCTTCACTTCCCTTAATTTTAAAGCTTGCCAGTAGGTAGAGTTTGTGCATAACGTGATCTGAAAATGATCAATTTTCACTGAAACAGCAATCAGTACGATCTGACTGTTCTAAAGAGGTTCCCTCATGTCAAGTTCAAGAACAATCCTTTTGTTTCCATTAGGATTTCAGTGAGGTGCAGGGGGCCGGATCATTATTCAGATTTGCTTTAAGTCCTTATCTACATAATGGAAAACCTGTGATAAAGTGTTGTCATGCGTCAAGATTACGGGCCTTCCTGAATGCTGCAGACTAATTCCAGTAGAGCAGCTTAAGAAAAAAATATTGGAAGAAATGGTCAGTAAATTTTAGAGTCAACGTTCAAGTAATCTTCTGCTCCAAAAGTCCAAGAATAACAATAAAGTGTTCTGCTGAAATAACCAAAAGCTACGAATCTAATGTGCAACTTAAGATAAGATTTTGTATCTATTAAAACTACTTCTTCTATTGTAACACACTGAAATGTCAGCTGAGAAGGGTGTTAGGAAGTAAGCAAAAATCATTATCATTAGGAGAAGTTGCCACTTCTTTTATAAGAAGTGTGGTAACTGTTTAAGGCAACATGTTTGTGTCTATTAGAGTTTGCAACTACATTTTGTTTTTATGTGTGTGTGTGTGTGTGAGTGGGACATAGTGCTAGCTTTGTATTTTTTATCACCTCAGCACACTGTTTAGTTATCTCGTCGTAATCAGCATTTACTGACAGTTTGCACTGTACTTTCTCTTCAGTCACCCTTGGTAGAAAACGTCCAAAAAGCTAGTTTTAGTGCATTAAATCATTCAAATTATTAACATCGAGTTACTATTTTAGTGCAATAATTTTACACAAATACAAATGTTAATACATTTTACTCTTTAAGTGTAGCAGGGATATGATATTCTAATAGTTACTGCAGATTTACTGAATCTGTCATCTTGTTTCAGGTCAGCCATGACACTAAACTCTCGTCTTCTGATCGTCCTGGCAGCAGCCCTCTTCTCTGCTGCTTCGCCTCAGTAAGTAGAGACAAACACAACATGGTCTGATGCTCTACTTCTACTTCTGTTTTATTTCCTATTAATAAACAAATGAGAATTTTCTAAATATATTGATGTATTTTAGTGAAATGTGGACCAAAGTGACCCTGACCCACCACTGGCCCAACACCTTCTGTTCTGTAAGTTGCAGACAGCCTTTATTCATTGTTATTATTCATATTTATCATATTAAATATAGGAAAGCACAGGAGCTTTCACAATAAATAAATACATCCTTCATATAACACTTATACTCTGTTAGGAGCTGCTGCATGCCCACTTAAGTTTTGTTAAGATAGTGTCAAGATTTAAACAAAAAAAGTGTCCAGTGATTGGTTATGAGGAATCAAAAAAACAGTTCCATGTTTTTTTTTTCTTGAGACCACATGATGTCCGAGTCACAAGACTTGGCTGTGTGTCAGTACTCTGGTTGTCTGAGCAGCACTCAGTCAGAAGTGTATTACGTCACAGCATAATTAACACATCCTGTATTTCAGGCTTATGAAAGTGCTATTCCTGCTTATCATGCTTTACTGGAAACTTGCAAAATGGTCCATCATTGTCTTCCTTACAGTCCTGACTGTGTCAGAATGCATAAAGAGAAATGATCAAATAGGCTTAAACTAAGTTGTACAGTGTGATTTTTTTTAATTTGGTGCTGATTTCCATAACTTTCAAAATCTGGTATTTACCGTTAGTTGACCCTTACTGTTTTGAAATAAAGCACATTTTTCAGTACAAGACACACACACACACACACAAAAAAGTTATTAAAAAGTCACATCTTCTGTTAAACTGAACTATATAAATAACTGCAGTAATCAAAGAACCTTTTTTACAGTTCTTTGGTTTACTGTATAGTTATTCACGCCATTCTCATCTACTAACAGTACATGCAATGCATTAATGCTAGTTTCAGCATGTTTTAATGTAAGAGAATGGCATCATTAGTAATAGTAGTAGAGATTGTGCATGTTTGCGCAACGTGTAATAGTTGGGTTATTTATTGTATATTACATTTCAGATGGAACACTGTCATCCCAACATTAGCTACTGGTCGCTACATGGACTTTGGTAAGTGTATGTGTGTGTGTAGCTTTAAATTGTGTTTTTCAGTCTTCCAGTTTTTCCTCTGTCTTCATAGGAGATGCTTTATACATTGAAAAAACTGTTTGCAAGCACCTCCCTAAGACTTTTACCATTTTCACAAAGCTGAAATGTTGAACCCTGATTATGTTGCACATTAACTATTTAAAGAAAAACTCTGTGTTAATCAAATAAAACCACACATTAATGGAAGGAAAAAGAGGAAATGAATGAGAGCAGCTCTTCTTTGTTGTTTGGTTGAAGTAGCTGTTTTTTACTTATTAAAGTTCATGTATATTTTGTGGGATGAATTGTGAATTTTTCTGTTTTTAAGGCCAAATAACGGGAATGACTGCAATTCAACATGGCATTTCAACTCTTCCCAAATTGAGGTATAACACTGTTCAGACAAGGCATTTTTATTCAAAACAAAGAGTTTGTTTTTAATACCAGCATAATAGTTTTGTGATTAAAATTGTAATTTGAGAATGTAAATCAATAAACACATCTCTCGCCTTTTCTGACTGCAAAACAGTAAATCGAACTCTCAAAATAAATCTGTATTTTGTCTTCATTATTTGCAGGATCTGCTTCCGGACATGAGGAAGAGTTGGCCTGACTTGCTCAAGCCTACTTCGTTTAGCTTCTGGTACCTCTAAACTGTCAAGTTTATTTTCTTATTTTATTTATTTATTTTAGTTTCTTATATCCCTTCTGTACTGATATCGCATATGTTACCTTAAGATTTGATATATATTGAACAGTTTCTTAAATAATCTGTTTTATGTTTATTAAGACAGCATTATTGTGACAAAGTACTTGACATATCTTACAGACATGATAGTTTAATGAGGTGGAAAACAAATGTAATCATCCTATTTTATTAAAAAAAAGTTTAAAACAGCATTTGTAGGCAATTATAAAAATTTGTTTACATTTAAACAACTGAATAAATCTGTCCCCTTCAAATTGGCAGCCATTAATATTCAGTTTTTGTCTGCGGAGATACTTTGCAATAGTGTTTTTTTATTATTATTATTGTATCTAATATTGTGTGTACAATATGCAGTATGTATAGCACTTGTAAAAGAACTATACCTGATCTTATAAAGAACTTCTAAATTTCCAAATCAGAATACAGCTTATCTTTATATTTGATTGTGACACTGACAACAAACATTAAAACGTATCACTTTATGTTGGTATCTTTTTTTTTCTCTCTCTCCAACAGGAAGTACGAGTGGTTCAAACACGGAACATGTGCAGCAGAAGCAGATGCGTTGAATAGTCAACATAAGTACTTCAGCAAAGCACTGGAACTGTATCATAAGTTGGATTTGAGCAGGTGCAGATCAGTTTGACACTTTCTCACATATTCCAACACAGAATGCATGTCTTTACTCAGAAAAAACATTTTTTGTATAAGTCTTGATATTCATGTTTCTGATTTATAAGTTTGATTTCTGATTCTTTGGTTTAAACATGGAGCTTTTTTTTTTTTACCACAGCGTCCTGAAGAAGTTTGATATTATCCCTTCTAACAAAACCTACAATGTAAGTCTGTTGTTTATCTTAATGTATTTAATATACAATTAGTCTTGTGTCAGACTGTGGACTAAAAACCTGTCCTACTAATAAAGTTTTTATGTGCTTATTTTGTTTCTTTGCTCCTCGTGCAGTTTTCACAAATTGAAGAGGTGATCCAGCATTTCTATGGCGTCACTCCAAAGATCCAGTGTGCCGTTTCGACAAAGGTATAAACACTTGATTAGAATCGTAGAATCATATTTCATTGTCTAAATGGTGTTCTTTTAAATAACGTTCATGTTCATTCTTATTGTGTCTTCTTTTGTTGTCGACAGAATACTGATGTTCAGACTTTGGGGCAGATTGAGATCTGTTTTGATGCCGACTTCACCCTGCTGGACTGTGAGAAACAACATATCACGGAGACGGATTCAAAGAGAGGTTGGCATCAGCTCGATGGTGTTGACACCCCAAGTGGATTCAAAGTGTGTGACCATGACATACCGGTGTATTACCCACCTCTTCTGTAATCTTCACACATGCGCAATCAAAAGCACAATAATGCGCTACAAACTTTTATTTTTTCATGCACTAACACTTGCTGGGGGATTGGGTGGGTGGGGGGGGGGGTAGCAGAAGAGGAACAACATATAGTTGTCAAAAGCCAAGAGGGCCCTCTCATGGCTGCAAATGGTAATGTTTACTCTTTGTTCATGTCAGTATGAATGAACATTTAATGTGTCAGTCAAAAATTCCATCATGAATAGGAAAAAAATGTATATTCTTTCAACCGTTAATTATACAGGTTATTCTCATTGAGCCTCGGGGACTCATTTACAAGAGAGACCTGATTTTAACAAAGAGTGATGACAAGACTAGACAACAAAGGCAACAGTAGACAAACTTAAAAGAAAGCATACAACTTGAGAAGAACAAATAAAAGAAAATGGTATTGAGATAAAAGAACAGCTAGGCTCTAAAGCGATCAAGCAATATAAGTCGTTTCGGACTATACGTCACAGGTCTGGAAAATAGACTCCCACTCCTTCTCCAGAAGCGTACAGAAAATGTTGACTTTCACAAAACCCATTTTATTATAAGTAAAGCAGACCTATAACACCCAAGTGCTTCCATGGATATTGTAGCAGCTTGCATGTGCTAGCAGTATAATCACAACAGAGCTGTTCTTGTGTGACATGACCCTTTATTCTTGGTACACATTTTGGCCCTCCAAAAGGAAGCACTTTCCTCCTTATTCATATCAGGAACAACCTCTGACTCATGGTGTCAGTTTACAGCCAGTAACAGTGACTTTAACATGAATGCCAAACCAAACCTGAACAGGACATTAACAAGAACAATCCATATCCACACTCATAAACCTTGTAAACAGTCATAACACTGATTGCCACAAGGCTACCCAGCATCCTTTGCAGCTCACGCAGTCTCTCTGGGATGCTACAATTTTGCATTAATATATTCTACATTTGTACACATTTCAGAATTGTTTAAAATGTACAGATGCCATTATACAGATGTTTATGATAAACTACAGAGAGGGGCTCACAGCTGGGCTGCTGCTTGCTCAGTTAGGAACACTGCTTGCACCAGGGCTCACCGTCGTACATCAGAATGTGTCAATATTTGCCATGTGGGAAAATAGCAACATGTTAGTTATACATGGCGTATCAAAAAAAACAATCTTTTTTTTTTTTTGAAAAATACATTGTGATTGTGATGATGAAAACTGTGAATCACCCCTAAGTGTACCACAAAAAAAAGATAAATCGATAAAGGAACAAGGGAATAGGAAATTAACGAACTAATTAAAAAATACAAAATTGAAAAGAATAAACATAATATATAGGAATATAAAAACAGAACTGTATCTCAAATAATGAATTGTCCTCATTTATGCATGGATACAAAATGTATTGGAAAAAATAATTGTAAATTTCTGTTCACATTTTTTCTCAAGTATTATGTAGCATGTATTATTATGCATTGTGTTTATTCGTTTTCTTTATTTCCTTTTTTATTTAATCACATGTTGTCTTCTTTTCTATATAGCTTTTGCTCTGATCCAGTTTAGCTGTAGCATGAATCCCTTAGTTTTCTTCCTGAACTGTTTTTTTTTGTTTTTTTGTATGAAAATAATATTTAATTCTTTGTGGAAAAAATTAATGGTAAATGGTAAATGGACTGTACTTATATAGCGCCTTTCTATCTTATTTCAAGATACTCAAAGTGCTTTACACTACAATCTGTGTTCTCATTTACCCATTCATACAGCACTCTACTAGATCTCAGAGAGATCCATATGACATAGTCACATAATTACGATGGACATATCTTCTGTTGTATCTTCTATATATGTTGGATAAACATAGAAAACACTTTGTGCCATCCACTAACTCTAAAAGTTTTAAAATACTTTGGCAATTATAACTTCTTAGGAGCGATTGCTAATAACTCAGTTTTGGATCACACATTAAGTTGCTGGCATAATTGTCATAAAAAACATAAGATTAAATGACAAATTGTATCACAGCACCCCATTATGGCATAACTCATCTTTACACTCTGTTCTTTAGAAGGAATATATTATAGACAGAAAGAAGCAGGGAAATATACTATAAGAGATCTCTGTAAGGATGTAGTGTTCAAATAATTGTCTAGCATCAGAGAACAATTTAAACTTCTCCTTACTGACTTGTATAAATATCTAAAGCTGAAGAGTTTGGTTAAAAAAATATATACTATGTGAAAGCCCATTAGAAAGAGAAATTGAAAAGATAATTTCATCTAAAAGATTATATCTAAAATGTAATTCCTGATAAACAAACATTGTAGGTATGAACATCTAACTTGTAAGAAAAAATGGGAAAATATTTAGGCAACATTTACACAATACAGAGATGGGAACAAATCCTCACAGATTCACAAATTATTTTTACAAATACAAGACACAGACATATTCAACTAAATCTGTTAAACTGTACTTACTATTCTCCTAAAAAAATAAAATCTCCATCTCCCCAACCTCGTCTCCTACGTGTAGATGCTATAGATGTAATGAAGATGGAGCAGATGCTCTGGGACTGTGATATAGTGAATAGTGAGTATGAGAACTCATTTTCAAGAAAGACCTGTTTAGGGAGCAGATGGTGGGGGTTAAGGGCCTTGCTCAGAGGCCCAGATTGGGGCAAATGAGGGTGGAGGCAGGTGTGGGTGTTTCACCTTTTCCACCTACATTTTGATGTTGACGGGACCGGGAGTTGTACCTGCGACTTTCCGATCACAGACCCATCTTCTAACCTCTGCGCCACCACTCCCCCATTCTAGAAACAAATCATGAGTGACCCAAGTGTTGCTTTGCTGGGGAACAAAAATGTATTATATGATTTAAACAATTTAAACCATGATATGATTTAAACCAGAATCTAGTTCTTCTTGCATTGGCAGCAGCAAAAAAATGCATTCTGATGATATTGAGGAAAAACCCAGAACCCCCAACACAGCAACACTGGTGGAATGAGTTATTATCATATCGTACATCCGGAAAAAAAAAAAAAAATGTATGTACTGAGTTAAAGGCAAACCGGAGTTGTTGTTTTTTTTCCTCTAATCTGGGATGTCATCATAAAAAGAGTATACAGATATGAAATGTTAGATTTTTTTAGACACATAGCCATATAAAATTAATATGGTAGATATTAGACCAGTTGATTTTCTTTTTTGGGGGGGTTGGATTGTAATTTAACATGAAAAAAATATATATACAAAAGTCTTTCTTCTAGTGAGTTGGTAACTCTTTGGTTGCAACCTGAGCAGTGCATGTTTAGCAGTTTTAGCTAGAGTGTTATTTTTTAATTATTATTCTTTTTTTTTTTTTTGGTCTTCACAAATTCATTTTGAAACAAAGGTTAAACAACAAAATTAGAAGTTATACGAAATGCAACATTTAATAATAAGAAGATGGCTCACCCTCAAACTTCCTTTGCTAAAAAAAGACTCTAAACTTCAGAATCAAACTGTGGCTCAGATCTGTCTCAGAGCAACAACTAGAGGGAAAGGACAGGGCAAAATAAGGAAAAAATACACTAAAATGAAAAAAGAAGGAAAATAAATAAGGAATAAAAATACATAGAAAATAAGAACAAATGTCAAATGGGCTATTGTTTAATATTTTACAGCAACTTACTTTGTAACTCATTTTATTTCATGCACAGACTTATTTCTTTGTAGACATTTTGACTTGAAAGCAGAACAAGCACAGATGTAATAAGAAGGAATACTTTTCCCAAATAGGAATGTCTGCTTTACAGGCCAGTCACTTTACACAATTGCAGAAATGAAATAAAACTTTTGTAAACTATTTATTGGACTATATACTTGATCTTTATGGAGCATGGCAAGTGCCATGGGTCAAAATGGCAAACAGAGTTAAAATAAAAGCTATTCCCTCAGTTTAGGAAATGCTGCTCACATAATTCTTACCAGGCATTGTTTATTTTGCAAAGAAGCAAAGATGAATGTTTGGATTGAATAAAGTTGAACGAATTTTACTTCCAGGTTCGCTAACTTGAGCAAACCATTGTTAAAGCACAAACATCACTTTTCTTCAGTAGCAGAAAAGTAGACAAATAACTGCAACCTAATTTAATTAATTTGGACCCCTAGTGCCTGACAGGCTCCATAGTATATAGTGTTTTCTGGTTGAGTCTATGGAAAATAAGAAACTCATTGCATAGCATCTCACTGAAGCTTTTTGAATATTTATTTTCTTGTATAAAAAAATGCTTTGGTCATTAGTGACTTTTATGGCTATCTGTCCTGTTTCTCCTTGAGGTGATTGGCTGGGATTGTTTTATTACAGTAAATATCTGCTGTTGAGTGAAATTACAAACATGAGTTGTTATTAAGTGTAATTTTCTTTCTCAATAAAGACATCTAATCTGTAGTGTTTGTGTTTATTAAACTCTGTGATTATTGTGTCCAAACGTTTTCTTAATGTTTGTGAATCAAACTTTCTTAAACAGTTTGATGGCAAAATATGCTAGCGCCATCTGCCCCAAACTTATTATGTAGTATACTGTAGTACACTAACAGTACTATATCTGAGGCGCTCTGCCTCACATTCTGCCTGTCCGTGCATATACATATTCATGTTGTGATCTCCTTACAGAGCCCTAATCCTACTGGGACAAAGACATCAGTCTATAATCCTGAATCCCCACCCACAGCAGAGCACAGCAGATTGACTGAACACATTTGATTACATTTTTAATAGTGCTAAAATGTCCTAAAACTTTGTGCCTTTTTAAATCCCAATGTGCTCCAAATCCTGTCAAACACATAAAGACCAATCAATGTGCATTTTATGTGCTGGGGTAGTTCCAGTTCATAGATCACAGTTAGACTATTTGATGTGCATTTATAAACTGGCCTTGTTGATGAATTTGAATTGGACTAAATTGCCGCCCAGGTCAGCTGTTGACCCTGAACTTCAGTAGAGCAGCAGTCCTTATTTAGCCCCTCAGCTTTCATCAGTGTCCACTGGCATCCCTCTGCCTTTCTGTGTCTGGGGTTATGCAACACTGCAGCTCTGCAAAAGCTGCTGATGTGACAGATCCAAGTGCACACACCCATGTTCACTTATCAGAACAGATTGTGTTGTTCTCGCTGTGACTGCTGGCCTTGTCGCTGTCAATATTTGTGGCATTGATTGCTATCGTCAAAACTGCACTGAACTGTGACATAAAGCCAGAGTCACCCTACTAACAACCTAGTTTTAACTAAAGTATTCTATCATATGTGTTGAATGCAGCCCAAAAAAAATAAAGCCTGGTGGAGGTTGCAGGTTTGCATCATGTGACCTCACCAGCTGTTGCTGTGTGCTGTTGGGAAAAGCAGGAGAGGCAGCTGGGGAGGGGTCCAAAGCTTGCCGGTGGCGCGCACAATCTGACTGCTGCTGCCAACTCCTTGTTCTGCAGAAAGAGAGAGAGAGAAAGGTTGGGGGCAGCAGGGGATGAACATACACATGCACAGGCAGAGAGATGAGAGGATGGAGCTCACACACACGCGCGCACACTTCCCCTGATTCAGCGGAACAGATTTATTCGTCACCTCTCCCTGCAGTCTGACACAGCGAGCCTTACTGCAAAAACACACAGGACAATCCCTGAAGCCCCAGAGACAGTCATCCCCACTGTCAGGCTGCGTGGATTAACAGCTCTGCGTGCTTACTGGAGACCTCTGCAGCTGAGCTGGGAGGCACAGAGAGGAGACAGACTGAAAACCAGCAGACTGAGACGAGCGACGCAACAGAATGATGGAGACACTACAGACAGACGACTATATTGAGGATGGGCCAGTAGAGAAGCTTCGGGACAAATAGGAAACAAGCCCAACCAAAACCTGTTCACCTGAGGAGTCCCTGCAGGGAGATGTTCATCATTATGGGATAAATACCCAGGTCTGCAAATGGTCATGGATGCAAGCACGCGTAAATTTACAGTACGAAGATGGTTTTCTATCTACCTGAAGAACAAGGCTGCCCGAAACAAGAACAGTGCTGGTTTCTGCCAGCTGGAGGTTAGTCTCAATGTTTCCATTTGACAGATACATGAGCATCTTCATCACAACACCGCCACGTGTGACTATAGAACAACGTAAATCCATAACAACACACAGAGGTCATATCTCACGTGTGTGAAGAGTGTCTGTGCACATGACAATGCACCATGCTCCTGTCACTGTCTGCCAAAACAGCAGAAGCCACTGGCCTCTATGGAGATGAGTTTTTGCAGAGAGAGTGTGAGACATGTTACAGAAAATAGTCCAGCAAACTCAAATGGATAAACACAAGCAGACATGCAGGCTTTGGGATAAATGTTTCCAGACAGACTGATTCAGGTGAAAGCCACAGCAATGGAGTTCTATTTATAGCCCAAACACCAGCAGGGGGGACAGAAAGACGTTTCAAGCTTTTCAGTGCACCTACCAGTCCGTCTGGGCTGTAAACGTCATTGCTGATGAGGAAATGAGATGAACTAGGCTACCAGTTTTTGTGATTGTTTGCCTGATTGAAAAACATGTTTCCCTGTTTAGCAGCTGTTCCATATATAAAATGCAATGTGATGTTTGATGCTCCATGGGGGGAGAGTTCTCTCCTCACTTCTCCCCCTGGGGAGGTGAGATCAGACTCATTATTATCTCGCTCGCTGACGTTGCAGTCTTAAACCTGCTTCCTTGTGATAAATACCGTAACATCAATCCTGCTTCACTGTTCTGTAATCACAAAAGCTGCTCTCTATGGGCTGAACAAACATTGTCATGCATTGATTTTTAAAAAGGCAAGTCCTTATTAATGGAAAATGATTTACATATTTTCATATAATTTGCCTCCCATTGTCAGTGACACATTTTCAAAGAAACAGCGAGGCTTAGTAAGCAAAAGACAAACTTTGCATTTATATATGGCGTGAATGGCTGTTTATGAGTTCATGTTCCTACACGTGAATTAGAACAATAAAAAAGTTTATGGAAGTTTTGAGTTATAACAAACTTTATTATATATTGTGTATCCAACCTCCATCTAGGTTCTTGAGAGTGAGGGTCTGAGACACAATATTAAGTCCCTCAACATTTTAAAAGCATCATTCATTCAAGGATAATAAGGAAGAGAAATATTCATTCAAATATACGCGGGCATACAGAGTATTCCCACTACTGGCATATGGGGACGGTGCCAGCATAATAGGACCATGAAGAAAGCGTGAGAATTTCAGTATACCCATTTAAAAGTGTCCAACGACACAAGCCCATGTCACGTATCATTGCATGACATGGGCTCGTGTCATTGTCAATACATTTGGCACATTTTATAGACACAACTTGAACATGTTTTGCTTTGATACTGTTTTATACATTCTATAACATGTTTTTAGTACAAAGCCAACTGTTGTACAAAGTTTGTTGTACATTTATTCAAATAAAAGCATCAGAGAAATTTTGAAATGTTCAATATGCTAAAAAAATCTAAATAAATTAACAATTACATTGTACTAGCTGGTGTTCTTTGGTTTCTAAAGCACAGCATACCCACTACAAAAATGTAGACTACACCACTGGAAAGATTAAAATGTGTTTTGTCTTTTTTTTTTTTTTTTTTTAAGGTGCACATGGATGTGGCTTTGCTCTAATCAGCTAACAAGCTGATTAAAGAAAAGTGTGTTTACTTGGAAGGAATTATGAAGTTGTTTTATAGAGGAACCATCACTAATTAGTGGGAGTGAATCCATATTGACTTGGGGGGGAAGTTCTGATTTAGCTTGTTATGAGGCAACTTGACAGTTATGCTAATTCAAATGTTTTGTGCTGCTAGAGATGTTGTTGAGACAATTCTTGACAGCTTATTAGGAAAATAAAAGAAGGAACAGAAAATACTACAACAGGCAGTGTGTGTCTTCTATATATTTGACTCTTCCAAGTTTGTACAATTTTTTAATACTAATGCCACTACATCATTGGCTTCTTGAGCATTACTTTTTTTCTCGTAGCTAAAGAAAATCAAAGGTCATATACTAGATTATCAACAAACACAAATATGCCAACCAAACTGCTGAACAGTGATGAAGCAAGTGTTTAGACTATTTTAAAGTATCCACCATTAATGAAAACAATATGTTAAAGTGCCTCAAATCTGAATGAAATCTCACCCTCAGACAGTCACAAGTGTGTGGTTCCAAGTAGTAAAGTGGTTCTGTTTCACACTTGATCTCTTACATGACTGAATATTTGGTGAATTTATGGTCTGTCTTACCAGATTTAAGTTGACCCAATAAAATGATCAGAAGCTATGGAGATGTATTAGATCATTTTAGATTTACCAAGACTCGTCGGCATTTTAAGAATAATTGGAGAGGAGAGTTGGTAACCTGTTATGGACTGATAGTTTTACAGATTTATAGTAACTTTTAATGTATCACTTATTATAAGTTGTGCCTCAAGTTGGTGGTTTGTGTCACTGCCAGTCCACGTTATTCTCATCTTGGTCCTGTTTTACTTAAACCTTTTTCCATTTCCTAAGCTTCACTTATCTTTTCATTTTTTGTTTGGAGTCTCGACCCATGTATGCTTCCTAACATACCATTAAAACATGCCTTTCTTTCCTCAGGATGACAGCATACTTAAGGAGATTGACATCAGCCACCATGTTAAGGAGGGCTGTGAGAAAGCAGACCCATCTCAGTTCCAGCTACTGAAGGTTCTGGGACAAGGTTCCTATGGAAAGGTACAAAAGCCTGCAGGTTTCTGGTTAGGAGCTGAGAAAACACAGTTTCTTCAAGGAAATGCAATCAAAGTAATGAGACAGTTCTAACAGACAAGTCAAGTGTTGACATGATCAGGCTAAAATTAACTACCAGACAAAATGATCACGAAAATATATAAGCATTGCTTTTATACAGTCAGGTTTTCTTTGAACAGTGATTACTAACTATGGATTTTAGGTCCATTGTCTCACATATTTTAGACATTTTCTTGTTTTATCACACCTAATTGAAATGGTAAATGGACTGTACTTACCGTATTTTCCGGAGTGTAAGTCGCAGTTTTTTGCATAGATTTGTCAGTCCTGTGACTTATATGCCGAAGCGACTTATATACATTTTTTTTTTCCGTATTTATAACGCCGTTTTTGACTGATACTTTAAATTTCGAAGAACTGCAACAGCGAGTCCTCCCGTGTCCGTTCGCTTCACTCCGCTAGTGCAGGCGGAGGAATGCTGGAGAGCTCGCAGCTTTGGCTGTGATGGATGGATGGATGGATGGTGTTGTGCTGCCCAGACAAATTGAAGTTGTTTTGACCAATAAATAAACACAATGAGTCAACGGTGATGCATAATAAATGCGACTTATACGCCGAAGTGACTTATATATGTTTTTTCCTCTTGGCGATGCTTTTTTTGACTGATGCAACTTATACTCCGGAGCGACTTATACACCAAAAAATATGGTATATAAAACCTTTCTTTCTTATCAAGACACTCAAAGCTCTTTACAACACAATCTGTGCCCTCATTTACCCATTCAGACAGCCCTCTATTATTTCTATACAAAGAATAATCAGTGCTTTATCACAGTCATACACCAATAGGACACACATCAGAGACAACGAGGAGTTCATTGTCTTGCCCAGGGACACTTTGCCATGTGACTTCTGGTGGAATAGAACCAGTGGTGTAGTCTATGCGATAAACGGGTGTACGGAATATAACCACTAGAAAAGCTTAAGAATTTCAGTATAACCATTTAAAGGTACCCAATGATACATGACATGTGATTAGGCACGTCATTGATACTTTGTGCGTTAAACGTCATTATGTTTAAAAATCAAAATAAATTGAGGATTACGGTGTACTAACCAGTGCACTTTGGTTTCTAAGCACAGTATGCCCACTACAAAAATGTAGACTACACCCTGAATAGAGCCCCCAACTCTTGCATTGGAGGACGACTGCTCTAACCACTCAGCCACAGCCGCCCCATTTAAATGACTGTTTTTAAGAGACTTCTTTAAAACTATATGACATAATGAGTCAGTTGTTAAAGTCAGGTTTGTTGGAGCAGGAAACCATTTAAAACTTAAAGAACAGTGAACTCTTAGTGCTGGAGGTCAGTGGTCTAAATAATCACTTTTTGCATGCTGTAACTAAAACCATAATCCATGTTTTAAACAATATCTGAGTTACAAGCTAGAACTGTCAACCTACTGTAATTGTGTTGTGTGTCTGTGTGTGTGTTTGTGTTTGCTGTTTGCCAGCCAGTCTTCTAATGATACGCCTTCTTTTTCCAATTACCTGTAGATTAGCTGCCTTGACAACCTCCTCATAGATCACAAAGCTTATTTAAATGAGCAGAGGTACACTGATCTACAGATTAGAGGTCTGTGCAGGCCAGACATAGAAACCTGGCAGATTCTGTGAGTGAATGCTGTTTGTGAAGGAGCAAAGACAACTGAGAGAGTCATACAGTGTGGCCTGGAAAGCCTGCTTACATGATCCTTTAACAGACTTTAGCTGTTGTTGCCAGACAGAGCTCACCTGGCTGTTTTCCAGAATGTGATGTTACCTTAGCCTGGTGACATACAAAATGTGGGTTGATGTAAAAAATTTAATTGTTTGTTTGTATCTGCAATTTCTCTAAATTTAGTGTACAGTACCATATATGTTCTAACAGGAGGTACAGTAGTCCCTCGTTTATTGCGGGTGTTATGTTCCAAACACCACCACCCCCACTCCCCCACAATAAGTGAAAATCCGCGACGTAGTGAGGTTATATTTATTTTAGAATTCATAT